GCAGTGAAGGAAATAGAGCAGCCGTAGCTGAGACTACATGTGTACACGAAGACCATGGAGAGTGGCTTTGGCGTCATTCGCAGCGCATTTTACATCGGATCTTAAATTACAAACGTACAATATACAGATTGTGCAAGAACTGAAGCCGCTTGAACTTCCCAACCGACATTGCTTTGATCTAAGAACTCCTGAAAAGTTCTAAGCTGATCCGACGTTTTCGATGAGTCCCATTTCTGGCTCCATACGTATGTAAGCAACCAAATTGCCGCATTTGTGAAAAAGAGCAACCCGAAAGAATTCATTCTATGCAGAAAAAGCAACCGTTTGGTGTGATGATATTTTGTTTTTTTTCGATTGGTCTAAACTCTATGCTGACAATCCCGCTTCGATTCAGGTCTTGGAGCAAAACATCACGTGTGTTATTGGCCAGTTAACAGTTCTAATGYTGSAAAAAGTCATCGAAAATTGAACTCAATGGATGAACCATCTGAAAAGTAGCCGCGGCCAACATTTGGAAGCGACAATCTTCAAAAATTTAACGTCAAAAAATTGTTGTTTCGAACGATAATAAACATTCCAGACTAAATTTGAAGTTTCTGTGTTTTTTCTTTAAAAAAATAGGGAATGTCGAGATGAYCAGCCTGTATAAACTCCTATAGCCAAGGTTGGGCAGGTATACCTAGCAGCGATCGACAAGGTATCTCATTTAGAAAAAAAGGTGTATATCTCTGCTGCACGATCGTAGCTGGACCATTTTAATAGTTTACTTATTATTTCGAAATAATTAAATCAAAAAATTAGTTTAATCACTTTTTGGTTACAAATAAAATTAAATTTTCATTTGAATTTCATTTTATATGACTTTTAATTTAATATTTTTCACCTCGTTTTCTATGAGTAAAGTACTAATATTYTAATTATTTTTCTATATTAACTTTTGTTTAACTGCATTATTTTCAAAGGCACAGACTAACACTTTACACTTCGTTAGGGAACTAAAAGCCCCTTTAGTTTCTAATAACGTATTTATACCAAATACTATAAGGAGACATGAACTAGTAATCAGTATCTGGTTATGCAATTGAAAATGTAAATATTTACTTGTTGTTGTTCTTACAATGTGTAAAAACGTGTACTATATATAATAGCCGGATAACGTGATCATTAATAACGCAGCGAAGTTGAGTGACAATATAATGAATGAGTGCATGCTTATATCATTTTGCAATAGATAGGTAGGGYTGCCACTACAAAGAAAATATATAATAACGAAAATGTGTTCTATAAATTCACAGAAAAATTGAAAAGAAAACAGTAACAACATTTTAAAGCTAAAACAGAATGAAATAGAAACAAAAGATGTAACCKGGTTTTAGAATTATGGCAACTCTRTYTTTTTAGTTTTAKTATGTTGCAGYKAAAAMKTGAAYTGAGCCACTAMCTACGGAGTGATACGGTGTTTGAAGCAATTTCTTCCTAAACCAAAAAATTCTGTGGTGACAGCAAAAAGATTACCTAATTAGCTGATTTGATTCACAATTTGAGTGTATCGATTAATCGACAAAAAATTGCCATATAAGTGATTAATGCTGAAACTTTTATTTACGCACAATGTTTAGACAATAATTCGTTTCTCATAATAATAATTTCTAAAAAAATAAATAAAAGACAAAAAGGAAACAATTTGCATGTTATTTGCAGTAAATAAGCTAAAATTACAATATATATTTTAAACTCAAATATGCTTTCAAAATGAAAAACTCTTTAAAAATGCAGTTGTAACGAAATCAGTATATATCAGATATATCGATATCTAAGTTAAAAAACAAAGATGGGAACGAAAGAAATAAAGTCGACTAATCGATAGAAAAATAGATTACGAACATGACCATCTCTGTAACTAAAACATTAAAACATACTTTTTAAATTTAAATAAACATGCGATAGAAAATCGATAAACCGATAGTGAATCGATAAACTGATATAAAATTGATAAAAATATAGAAAATCGATAAGTGTTGGAACTATATTTGCGAAAGAATAAAATTTTTTTCAAAATAAATGTATAAATTGCTAGAGCTCATTAATTCGCTTTTGAAAGACACACACGCAAACTAGGGTAGTTCAAAATTTTGATTATTTCTTCGCTTGAWACTCTGAGAAAAAGGTTCTTAGACACTTTTAAAGCCAGTTTTCTGAACGTCTGGTAACGAGAAAGTCGCTTTAGAGTTTTCCTTCTTAGGCCATTGTCTTCTCAATGGCTG